AAAAAAAAAAAAAAAAAAAAAAAAGGAAAACAGGTGAATACGTGATTTCTAAAGAGGCCTTGTTGAAATAACGGGCTGCCGTCAGCTCACAGAAATCCCACAGTGCGGCCACTGTGATGCAGAGCCCCAGGGGGTCTTTGCCAGACAACTTGTCCTGACTCCACAGAGAAGGCAGCTTGACCTTTGAGTTGGCTTGTGCAAGCATTCAGGTTGCTTGCATAGACCTCCAGGGAAGCAAGCCTGTCCTTCCTGACCCTGTGGTTAAGCTGTGTCGGTGTTTTCTTGGTGCACTTTTGTTCCTTTGTTAACCATTGTGCTGTCACTAAGTTGAAAAGCTGGGGCTCACCCTTAGACGTCACTTTGGCTCTGTTCCTGTGGCGACAGCAGGGCAGGGTGGCCAGGCAGGTCCGGTGCTTACTCTGTCTTCTTGTCTTTTACTTAAATTCCTCTGACTTTAAAAAATGGTGAGACTCTTATCGTAAAGCTTCCTATTTTTCTCCACTGTTTGGATATGAAACTAGAGGGAGAGCGCATGTCGCCCAGTGTTCTCCCGGTTTACCAGCTGAGGTGACTGTCCCAGTCTGATGTGATGTAATTGTTTCCTTTTGATTCTCCAGTATTCCTGTTTCCATGCAGTTCCTTACTCCCCTCTTTCCTCTTCCCTCACATGTCTCCCTCCAGTCCTCTACCTAGAATAGTCTCGCTGTCCCCCGTTTGCCTCCATGAGCCTGCTGTTTCTAGGAAATTACGTAACGTTCAGTTGGGATGGAAAGCTGGAGGATGAAGAGAGTTTAATTACTCATTGCGTTGAAAAGCCAAGTCATTTCTATCTCCAGAGTTGTTCTCTTAAACTTAACGTTAGTATGAGCTCTGAAAGGAGCTAGGTCTTTACTGTGGTTGGGGCTCCGGCGGCCATCAGTGACCAAGATATGGGGAACACCCACATGGGCACCAAAAGGCCTGATGGGGCAGTGCTTTCCAGGGCCCTGAGGGAAAGGCACCTCAGCACAGCCTTGGACTGCCTCGGCTTTCTCTGCCCAGGGCCCCATATCCTTGTAGGTTACTGCTGGACTTCCTATCTCTGCTGGGACAACTGAAGGCATCCTGGCTGGGAAGCACAGGTGGGCTTGGGTGGGATGTGCCCTTGTCAGAGAGAGTTACAGCACCACTGTCTGTGTCTCTAGTGGTGGCACAAAGGCTGAGGAAGCTAGATTTTCCTGTGAAGGACAGTGAAGAGCCCAGTGTCCCTTGGGTTGACAAGAGCCACTTCCCAAGACCCAGAGTGCCTGGAGAAGACACAGGGAAGGTAAGTGCCCTGGAAGCGTGGGGCTGAGTCCTGCCCTTGGGGCTGTGGGCAGCCAGGGTGGCCTGGTGTGCAGGGAGCTACCGCAAGGTAGGCAGAGAGTTAGCACCTCTCACTTTGTCCCCAGGGGAAGAGTCCAGTTTTAAGGGCCGGAGTAGATTTTTAAAGCTTGCTGCTGGTTTATTTCCTTCATTCTGGGAATGCCTTCTGTGGGGCAGGTCACTGGCCAGAGCTGTCACTTGTGGCCTGAGGCCCATTTCCCATTGCCTCCCAGACCGACAGCAAGGCCCATGCAGAGGACACTGGTAGTTTGGTGAAGAGTTGCTTGTATAAAGGGGCTGTTCCCATTTTCCTCATAGAATATAGGAAGTGATTTGCCACAACTCCTCTCAGCTATTTCCATTTAAGATAAATATAGTTGCAAGTTTCTCTGTAACAGCTCAGACGTTCTGCAAGCCCCATTGGATGCCACTCTGCGTGGGAATGGTGTACAAAAGTCCCAGTTTGGCAGTCGGTGCCAGCCACTGCCTGAGGGCCATTCATGAGGAGAGTGATTTGTGACTTACAGATACATTCAGCAAAGGAGTGCAGCGGGCCTGGCTGCCTTGTGCTGATGTCAGACTGCGTGTAGTTCATGGGGAAAAATCTGACATTCCCACACCCACTCTAGTGGGTTCGCTTGGTGGAAATTCTATTAAGTAACATGAAAAAGGCTGCTTTTTAAGTCACATGGCTTTTCATTTTATGTGAACCAAAGCC